TTTTTTTTTTTTTGGTACCGGGGATCGAACTCGGGTCCTTGCGCTTGTGCAGCAGGCGGCGAAACCACTGAGCTAAATCCCCGGCCCTTGTATTTTTTGGTACGGGGGATCAAACTTTTTTTTTGTTTTTTTTGTCAGGGATTGAACTCAGGACTTGCGCTTTCGAGGCAGATGGCAGCACCACTGAGCTAAATCCCTGGCCCCTTTTTTTTGTTGAGACAGGGTCTCATTATGTAATGCAGCCTGGCCTTGAACTCACAGTGATCCTCCTCCCTCAGCCTCCTGTGTGCTGGGATTACAAGCATGCACTAAAACACCCAGTTTGTATATTTTAAAAACAAGTAAATTTCTTATTGAGGCAACTAACTGTGTTTGGAGCATATTTATCACAGGCTGCATCCATTCATTATGCTTTTCTGAGTTTTCCTACATGTAAATACATGTTTTTAATGTCTGTCTTCTGTGCTTTTATGTTTGCTGTTAGATACATTAAGCTATAACAGAACACACATACAAAAATTAATTCACAATAGATCAAAGACTTATATGTAATGCAAAACCTATAGACTTCCTAGGAGAAAATATAGGGGGAAAGGTTTTTTTACATTGAATTTGGCAATAACACCAAAAGTACAAGCAACAAAAGAAAAAAAATAGATAAATTAGGCTTCATCAAAATTAAACTTCTGCATATGAAAGGACACACTCATAAAAGTGAAAAGGCAACCCACAGAATGAAAGAAGATTCATACTATATAAAGTACCTATATAGCTCAGCAAAAAAAAAATCCAATTAAACAGTTTTCAAAAAAAGGTATACAGATGGCCAATATACACATGAAATCTGCTCAACATCATTAATATTAGGTAAATGCAAATCAAAGCCATATACCCACTAGGTTGGGTATTATCAGTAAAAGCAAATAACAAGTATTGGTGAAGCTGTGGAAGACTTGAAGCTCTTGAACATTGCTGAAGAGAATATAAAGTGGTGCAGCCATGTGGAAAATAATATGGCAGTTCCTCAAAAAAATTAAATAATCATATGATCCAGCAATATACTCCTGAGTGTACACGTCAAAAACTTGACAGCAGGGACTCAAACGGGTATTTTTATACCAATGTTCACAGCAGAACTTTTCCCAATAGCCAAAAGGTGAAAACAACCCCAACATTTCTTGATGGATAAATGGAAAAACAACATAGGGTATATGCATATAATCAAATATTATTCAGCTTTAAAAATGAAATTCTGACACATGCTACAACATGGATGAACTTTATAGACATTATGCTAAGTGAAATGAGGCAGGTATAAAAAGGCAAATATTACCCCACTCATAGGAGGTACCTAGAATAGTCAAATTCCCAGAGACAGAAAGTAGAATACTGGTTACCAGGGGCTAGGGGAGAGTGGCTAGGAGTTACTATTTAATGGGGAGAGTTTCAATTTGGGATATAAGACAGCTTCCCTTTGGCTAACATACAGATAATCAGAACTAATGAAGGGAATAAGAGAAAACATTTGAAAAAATAATAGCCAAAAATATTCCAGACTTAATGGAAATTATGGATCCAAGAAGCTCAACAAATCCTAAGCACAAGAAACAAACAAACAAAAAACCCAAACAAACAAACAAAAACCCCCCAAACAAACAACTCTAGCCAGGCATGATGACGTATGCCTATAATCTCAGCATTCAGAAGGGTGAGGGAGGAGGATCTTGAGGCCAGCATGGACTACCTAGTGAGTTCAAGGCCAGCCTGAACTGTATTGTAAGATCCCGTTTCAAACAAACAAGCAACCATCCATCTAGGTAACTCATAATCCAATGGTTTAAAACCAGTGACATATTGAAAACCTTAAGGTCAGTCAGACAGAAAAGACTTTTTACATATAGAAGAAACAAAGACAATATCAAATTTTCTATTTTAAGCAATGCAAGTGAAATAACATCTTTAAAGTACTAGGAAAGAAAAAAATCTGTCAACCTAGAATTTTATTCTCAGCAAAAAATACCTTTCAAAGACAAATCTGAGACATTTTAGACATACAAAAGCTGAAAATTAATCACCAGCAGGTCCCTACTACAAGAAATGTTCAGTCAGATGGAAAATATACACCAGATGGAAATCTGTATACAAAGGATTGGAGATCACTGGAAATGGTAATTACCTGGGTACATATGTAAGATTTTTCTTGTTATTTTAAATTCTTGAAAGACAACTGTGTAAAAATAATAATGTACGATGGAATTAGTAAGTCATGTAAAATATGACCATCTTAATATAAAGGCAAGGAGGAAAGAAATGGAAACATATTATTATACGGTTTTTTTGTTTGTTTTTGGTACCGGGGATCGAACTCGGGACCTTGAGCTTGCGAGGCAGGCGCCTGAACCACTGAGCTAAATCCCCAGCCCAATTACAAGGTTTTAAAACTATATATGAAGTGGTATATTTCTTGAAGGTAGACTGTGGTTAAGTTAAAGATGTATAGGGTGGGGATTTAGCTCAGTGGTTCTGTCGCCTGCCTCAAAAGCACAATGGCCTGAGTTTGATCCCCGGTACCAAACAAAACAAAACAAAATAAATAAGTTAAAGATGTATACTATAAACCCTAAAGCAACTACTAGAGTAATAAAACAAAAAAAATTACAAGCCAATGGAAGAGATAAAATTGGGATCACAAAGCATACTTAATTTACCCAAAAGCAAGCAGAAAAGGAATAAAACAAATAAGATTATACAGATGATCAAAAAGTATGGTGCTTAAGTTTTAAAAAATCATTAGGGTAAAAGGCATATTGCCACTAACCCCCTTAAAGGTCCCCCAAACACATGTATTCTAGTGTCTCCCCCCACCCCCGCACCCCACACCCTACCAGGGATTGAACTCAGGGCCTTGTGCTTGTGAGGCGGGTGCGGCACAACTGAGATAAATCCCCAGCCCTGTTCTTGTAATTTCTGAAGCAGTTCTGAAGTTCTTTTGTCAATGTCTTTAAGAGGTATGGATCAAACATATGGTGAATGCTTGGCTGAGTGCCATCCAACAGAAAGACAGGGTTGTAGACATTATGGTGTGACTTCATCCACCTTATTCACTGGATCTGGCACCACGTGTCTACTGGCTCTTTCTCATGGTCAAAATGACCCTGAAAAGAAAATGTTTTTTATTTTATTAAGTTTTTTGGTACATTTTAGGTATACAATATGACATTCATTGTTGTGAATTTGTACCTTTACATGATATATCTTGGTTCTTATTTATTTCCCCATTCCCCTGCCCTCCCTTCAACCCCTCCACCCCTCCCTATTTACAAAGACTTTATTATTTTCTTTTCTCATATTTTTTCCTTTCTCCTACCCCTCCCACTTCCCCTTTGGACATTTTCTTCCTATTTCATGTTATCTATTATACATTTTGATCCTCATTTATACTTTCAGTTTCTCACACCAGAGAAACTATTCGGTATTTACACATGTGTCTCATTTATTTCACTTAAGAGTATGGCCTCACTGTGCATCCATTTAGCTACAAATATGTCTAGTTTCTCATTCTTTTTGACTGAGTAGTACTCCATTCTATAAAAACACCACATCTTCTTTATCCAGTCCACAGCTGATAGGCATTTGGGCTGTTTCCAAGATCTAGCTATTACAAACTGTGCCGCTATAAACATGGGTGCGCATATATCACTGTGGTATGATGCTTTTAATTCTTTTGGGAAGATACTCAGCAGGGGAACAGCTGGGCCAAATGGGACTTCTAATCCTAGTTCTTTGAGGAATCTCCATACTGATTTCCATAGTCTACGCCCCAACCAACAGCGGAGAAGGGTTCCTTTCCCCCCACAATCCCGCCAGCATTTGTTACTGGTTGATTTCTTTTTTTTTTTTTGGTACCAGGGATTGAACTCGGGACTTTGTGCTTGCGAGGCAGGCAGCAGAACCACTGAGCTAAATCCCTAGCCCAGGAGGTCTGAGTTTTTAAAGTTCTTTTTATATTTTAGATAGTAGACCTTTGTCTGAGGAAGTTTTTGGTCTCTCTTGCTGTGCAGAAGTTTTTTAATAAGATGAGATTCCAGCTGTTGGTTCAGAAAATGTTTTGAATCAATCCAGGACACTGAGGCAGCCACAACAGTGCAACTAAAGACATTCACGAAAAGAACTTCTAGAACTACTTCAGAAAGTGGCAAAAACTATGGGATAAGTGTGTTTGAAATGATGGGGAGTATTTTTAGGGTGATTAATGGTAATGTGTCTTTTACTATAAATTTTATTTAAATATACCATATTTTAAAAGTCACACCTCATAGACTTAAACTCAGCCAAATCAATGTTCATATTAAATATAAAGGGTCTAAAAACCCCAGCTAAAAAGCAGAGATTGCAAGACCGAATAAGAGAAGACCAAACTATATGTTGCTTATAAGAAACACACTAAATATGAAAGTGGAAATAGACTAAAAAGACAGAAAAAGATATATGCTAACATTAGTCAAAAGAAAGTGTAATTTCAATAATAAGTAGCTCCCCCCCTTTTTTGTGATGGCAGTTGAACCCTAGGCTAGGCAAATGCTCTATCACTGAACCACACCTCCAGCCCTCTTTTCTTTCTTTTTTTTTTTGGAGACAGAATCTTGCTATGTAATTTGACCTTGAGCTCACTATGCAGCCCAGGCTAGCCTCAATCTCATGGTGACCTTCCTACCTCAGCCCCCTACAGTGCTGCGATTATAGCAAAGTAGATTTCAGAGCAAAGGCTATTACCAGGAATAAAGTTATTCAAAGGCCTGTATGTACCTACCAGAACACATACAGCAAAAACAAAATTCCAAGGAAAAACATGTATAATTTTAGTCAGATATTTTAGTATTCTTGTCTTAATCACTGATAGAACAATCAGGCAGAAACCCAGCAAGGTTATCAGTAACTTGAATAATGCCACCAGACAACCTGACCTGGTTGAGATTTATATAGCACTCCACCCAAGAATTTAGAATACTATTCTTGCCAAGTGTACAGGAACTTTTACCAAGACAGATCGTATTTGGGGCCATAAAAGAAGTCTCCATGAAGTCAAAAGGTTTTTAGTCACACAAAGTCTTTGCCAACAGAATTAAATTAGAAATGAGTAATGTAAAGATCCTTCAGCTGGGCATGGTGGCACATGCCTATAATCCCAGCACTTGGGAGGTTGAGACAGGAGGACTGCCTGTCTCAAAAAGTGAGACCCTGTCTCAAAAAACCCAAAAAACCACAACAAAAAAGAACCTCAAACAAAACAAAAAGCCCAAAACAACCAAAAAAACCAAACCAAACAAAATCAATTGATCCAGGTATGGTAGTATACATCTGTAATGGTAGCACTCCGGGAAGCTGAAGCAGGAGGATTGTAAGTTCGAGCCCAGTCTGACCAATTTAGTGACTTAGCTAAACTCTGTCTCAAAATAAAGAAACAGGGCTGGGAATGTAGCTCAATGTCAAGGTCCTAGGTTAAATCCCCAGTAAAATACACACACACACAAGCACGCACACACACACATACACACACACACACACACACACACACGCCAAATGGAAATTAGAAGGTAATTTTGAACTGAAACACAATGAAAATACACATATATATCAGAATTCTTGGGGTGTTGCTACAAGGCTTAAAAAGAAATCCAGGAGCTGTGTGCAGTGGCACACACCTGTAATGTACTTGAGAGGTTGATGAGGATCCCAATCCCAAGAAGGAGGCCAGCTTGCCTGGTGTATGTGAGGCCTTGCATTTGATCCATAGCACCAAACCAAACCAAACCAAACAAACAAAACAAAACAAAACATCTCAAGTTCCACCTTTTTTTTTTTTTAGACAGGGTCTCACTATGTAGCCAGGCTGGCCTTGAACTCACCACAATCCTCCTGCCTCAGCCTCCTGAGTGCTGAGGTTACAGGTGTGCACTCAATTTCCATCTTTTTTTTTTTGTGGTACTGGGGATTGAACTTGGGACCTTGTGCTTTCGAGGCAGGTGACAGAACCACTGAGGCAAATCCCCAGCCTCAATTTCCATCTTAAGTAACTAGAAAAGAGCAAATTAAAGATAGGGATATTCGCCATTTAGCACTGTATTGGAAGTTGCAACCAGTACAATTGAGCAAGAAATAGAAGGTATCTAGGCTGGAAAGGATGTAAAACTTTTTATTCACATTCAACATGATCCCCTATGTAGAAAATGTGGAATCTATAAAAAAGTTGTTAGAAACTAAAAAGTGAGTTCAGCAAGGTTTTAGGATAAGATCAATGTTAAAAAATCAATTGCATTTCTATATACTAGCAATGAAAAATCAGAAATAAAGCCATACCATTTATAATAGCACAAAAATAATGAAATATTTAGGGATTAAGTCTGACAAAAGATGTGAAAAACTGGTGGCACATACCTGTAATCCCAGCACTCTGGGAGGCTGAGGCAAGAGGATCACAAATTTGAGCCCAGCATGGATTATTTAGCAAGACCCTATCTCAAAATAGAAGGTCTGGGGATGTGGCTGAGTACAAAGGCCTAGGTTCAATGCCTAGTACTGGGGATAAAATAAAGATGTGAAAAACCTAGGCGCTAAAGATATAAAATATTTGAGAGAAAGTAAATGTGACTTAAATAAATGGAGAAGTATAACTTGCTCATGGGTTGGGAGATTTGACACAATTCCAACAAGTCTCTCTTTTTTTTTTTTTGGTACCAGGTATTGAACTCAGGACCCCGCGCTTGCCAGGAAGGCACAGTGCCACTGAGCTACATCCCTGGCCCTCAGCAAGTTTTTGTAGAAATCAACAAGATGATTCAAAGACTCATGTGGAAATGCGAAACGCCTGAAATGGTCAAATCAACTCTGAAAACAAAATTACAGGGTAGCAGCAATTGATTTTAAGAATTATTATAAAGCTGTAGTACTAAAAACAGGTATCAGCATACAAGTAGACAAACATCAATGGAACAGAATAGAAATTCTAGAAGTAAATTCACTCATATGAGTATAACTTTTTTTTTTTGTACTGGGGATCGAACTCAGGACCTTGCGCTTGCAAGGCAGGTGACAGAACCACTGAGCTAAATCCCTGGCCCCGGCCCTGGATTACTGATTTTTTGTCAAAGGCACAAAGGCAAAAGGGTAAGGATAACCAGCCTAGAAAACTCAGTGAGACCCTGTCTCAAACAAAAAATAACAGGGCCAAGGATTTAGCTCAGTGGTTCTGCCGCCTGCCTCACAAGCAAAAAAAAAAAAAAAAGTGAAAAAAATAACAAAAGGGCTGGGGACGCAGCTTGGTGCAAAGTCCTTGGGATCAATCCCCAGTACTGCAAACAAACAAAATGAAACAAAACAACAAAAACACAAGTCGTAGCCATAGACTGAGAAAAAAATCTTTGCAAAGCATTTGATAAATGACGTGTACAGACAAAATGTAAAGAATTCTCAAAACTAAACCCAAATCATCTAATAAAAAGTGGACAAAAGATTTCAACAGACACTTCACCAAAGAAGATACATGAATGATAATAAGCACATGAAAAGATCCTCAATATTATTTGTTACTAGGGAAATATAAATTAAAATCATGAGACATGATGTATATGATACATAGTATGATGCAAGTACCTTAGGAAAGAGCTTGATCATTTGGGTTAAACATACACTTACCTCAAGATCCAGCCATTTCACTGCTTCCCTTGGTAGTAGTAACTTTATCTGTAATAGCTAAAATGGGAAACTCAAATGTCCAGGAAAGGATAAGTACATAAACTCCACACAATGGAATACTACTTCTAAGTAAAAAAAAAAAAAAGGGATGGACTAAGTATGCTGAATGAAAAGTCAGACTTCAAATGCAAACTTATTTACAATGACAGAAAGCTGATGAGTGGCTGCTTTGGGGTAGCAGGAGGTTAGAGGGGAATGAGAAAACTTGGCTGTTTTTTCTAAACTAATTTTGGTGATGGTTTCATGGATGTGTCAACTTACCAAATTTTGCAGTTCATTTACATCAATAATATATAATTTTATACACATAGAAATATGTAAATATACCTTAAAAATAGTAGCTATAGAACAGTGGTTGGAAGGAGAGGTTGGAGTCCAGCTGCCCCAGTTAGTCCACCACAGCTGTATGGACACTCAACAGGTTACCTCAACTGTCAAAGGGAGGATACCAAAGAATCTGTCTCTAAGGCAAGTTTTCTGTTATCTCGGATCTTACCAAGATTAACATGTTCCTGTTGGGTTGAGCCACTGGTGGTACATGCATGACTGTCCCATCAGGTGGCTTGTACCATCCAATGGGACTGTCCCATACTGTCCAATGTGACAGCCATGCATGTACCACTAGTGATTCAGAGTTGCCCAGAAGTGAGACATATGAATTATGGCCCCGTCATGAATATGTTAAATGGGCCAACACATGGAAACTGGAATAGGTTTGGAACACAGAAAATATTGTAGATGAGAAAGGTAAGGCTGAGCTGGAGGGGGTGAGATCTTAACAGGCAACTGCTGTTTTTGTTTGCTTTGCAACCCTTTCCATGGAGACTTTTTTTTTTTTGGTACTGGGGATCGAACTAGGGACCTTGAGCTTGCGAGGCAGACGCTGGAACCACTGAGCTAAATCCCTGGGCCTGTTTTATTTTTTTTTGGTACTGGGGATTGAACTTGGGTCCTTGTGCTTGTGGGGCAGGCAGTGGCACCACTGAGCTAAACCCCCGGCCCCTGTTTTTGTTGAGACAGGGTCTTGCTACGGAGTTCAGGCTGGCCCTGAACTCATTAAGTAGCCCTGGCTGGCCTCGAACTCTCAGTGACCCTCCTGCCTTAACACCCCAAGTGCTGGGATTACAGGCATGCGTCACCGTGCCCAGCTTAAGGTAGACTGCTCTTTGCTCTTCAGCCATTTTAGGTAATTTTATTGGGGCTGAAATTCACAGTATCCAAAACCCTTGAGAAAGTACTCTATTCCCTGGATTACAGTGATTGGTACAAGATATACAAACAGCAATCCAATCTGGGCCAAAGACCTTTCTTGAGATTTCCATATTTAATAAATATACTGAAGTAGGGAAGGAGATGTCTTTTTCTTTCTCCCTGGGGATACCAACTGGGAAATTTAGAGTGAGGCACCATGCCCTCTTCCTCCCTTACAGGGAAGAACACAGTTGAAAATGGCACAGAATGAGTTCAGAGAGAAGCACAGTGGAGAGTCCTACAACTATTCTTTGAGCCCTCTGATCTAGACCTGAAGAAAAAATGTCTCTGATGACTTATAACCAACTAATTCCATTTAGGACTTAGGTTAGTTTGACTTAAATTATTTTTTTTTCTTTTTGGTGCCGGGGATTAAACCCAGGGCCTTGTGTATGCTAAGTACATGACCTACCACCAAGCTACATCCTAAACTGCTTGACCTACATGTCCCTGCCCTTCTTTTCCCTCGTCATCTTGCCTAGTTTGGTTTCTAACTCCTGGGCTGAAGTGATCCTTTCATCTCAGCCTTGCCAGTCCTGGAACTACAAGCATGTATTGACCTGCACTTCTGTTGCTTCAACTGAAAGTTACTCATGATAAAAGATGAAGTGAGTTGGCTGTAAAATATTGGAGCTCGGATCCAAAAACAGGTCTCACTTCTACCTCATGGCCATTTCCTGCTTGTGGGGTTAGAGGGGCACATGCTTGTAATTCAGTATAGATGGGAGGGGGGTGCTGACCAAACAAGAGAGGTTATGTACTAGGTAGTGAACAGCAGTGCCTGAGCCCTAGCTAGAAAGCCTGACAGGAGCTTCAAGGACAACTACTTAGCACAACCTACTTGGGGAAGCCATCAGACCTCAGATCCATAACCCTAAATGTGATTTGAGACATGAGGAGAATGGCATTTTTATTTACAGTTGGACCAAAAAAAGGCATACAGGCATTTTTTAAAATTAAAAATAATGACGATGATTTAAAGTCAGAAAAATTGACAATGTTTGAACCCTTTGTGGAGTCCATTTCCCCACTTCCCCTCAAAAGAAAATCTTTTAGGGGGAAAAAATTTCAAGATTTGAATGAACAAAAGATTCCGATACCATTTTCTACTGCTTGGGTTCCCTCTTCTCCAACCTGATTCTTGGTAGATGCTGCTTGGCACTGAGGAGTCACTATGAGGCAAGATTCAGAAACTCACCAATTTGACTGATAGAGCTGGCAAGGGCCCTGGAGACTGGGGCAGTGGTGTGTGTGTGTGTGTGTGGGGGGGTATTCCTAGAATAACCAGCATCCTGAGCTTTGTCTCATGGAGTCTCAAAGGGACCAGAGCAAGGACAAGAGGCCATTATTTAAATCCTAATCCCAGGTGGACATGAGAGCCAATGTCTATGACTTGTACAGGTGGCCTGGGGCTGGGAAGAGTGGGGCTTTCTAGAGGAGTCAGGCAGCCACGAGTCTCTTCCTTCCAGCTTGGCAACATTGGGCTTCTTGCCTTGTCCTGGGAAATAGGGAAGGAATGATAAAACTTCCTTCTCTCAGCAGTTCTCTGTGTGTCCCAAAATAACTCAGGTGGGAGATGGGGGGCATTGAATCTGGCTAAAAGAAGTGAGCAAAAATAGTGAGGCCAGGGGACATCAGAGATAGAATGGCTCTGCCTGCCACCTGAAGAAGGGCACGTTAGATCTCCGGGCCTCCTTATTCTGCCCTGAAAGTGGAGAAGGTCCACCATCTGCACTTGGGAAAGATTGGCAGCCCCTGAAGAAAGAACTGGGGAGCAGTCCCAAGGGGAGAGGACCTTAGTGGTCTTAGCCATCCCTTCCCAGACACAGACAGGTGGATGCTTGGCTCTGCAAATACTTGACTCCAGGTCCAGGGTTTCTTGGCACAAGAACAGTTCACTGCAAGTCTCTCCTCTTCCTCCTTGTTGGTCAGCAGACTCTGGCTGCTTGATGCGGGGGTGGGGGTGGGGGTTCCTGATGTCCTACAGTACCTGCCCCAGTGCTTCCAGGGGCTTTCCTTGTAGCCATTAAGTCTTGGGCTTGCTCCTGGTGAAAAGGTGGCTCAGAGGCCTGGCTGGAAGCTCTGCCTTGGTAGCCTGGGAGGAGGCTGGGCAAGAGAGAAGTGGATCGGGGGAAGAGGCTGCTTGGCATTGAGGGGGCTGTCCGGGCTAGAATGTTAGTGTCGCAGCATCCATGGTGATGAGCACAGGTGGTGAGGCTCAGAACTGTCACAGGGGCCCTAGCATCTCTTCTTCTGGTTAGTTGTGGGGTGGCCAATAGCCCTGAGGAACTGAGGTGGAGACAGTGACTAAACCCAGTATCTTGGTGGAGTTATCCGTCTTGGATCCATTTGTTAAAAAAAACTAAGGAAAAAAAACCCAAACCAAAATAAACCTGAACAAACAGGTCAGAGTTCCTGCTAAAGGGAACTTTTTTAGCAATGAAGAAAAAAACCCACAAAAAACTCAGCCCCCACAAAACTGGAATAAGATGAAGAAAAATGCAAGATTTATCTACAGGCCCTCCCGCCCCCCACGCAGTCCCAGGATCCAGGAACACTGTGCCAGGAGTTATATTCCAAATGAGCAGGAGTTATTTTATTTTGCGTGCCTGCAGTTCCCTATAAAGGGTGGCTTCCTGTCGGAGGATGGAGTGGGCCTGGCTGTGGTCCACCCCAATCAGTCTATCTTCACGGCAGCATAGATCTTGCGGACAAACATGTAGGCTGCATAGAAGCCAATCGTACCCGTGAGCAGCCAGAAGGATAGGACCATGAGGGCTGTGTAGCCAAAGTAGAGGAGAGAAGGGATGAATTCGACGATGTCCAGCTGGGGCAACAAGTGGGGAGAGAAAAGAGGGATGGATGCTTAGTACCAGGTGGCCATGACAAACTGCCCAACTCCCACTCATGTAGTGGTAAAACTGCCACCTTTTAGGGAAAGGGGCTCACAACCATGGCTAGCTTTTATCTCTTCCAGGGCCTGTGAACTGCTTTGGATGCTCATGACCTCAGGACCAGAATACTATAAGCAGGAATGACCACAGTGGGGATATTCTCTGGTCCTCCAGTCCCTAGAACAGCACAGTAACACTGCTGGATGGCAGAAGGTACAGTGAGGAGAGGTCTCCAAAGCTCTGACCTTAAGGACCAGAGAGCCACCATCAGCCTATATTCCTTTCCCCAAGAATACCTGTCACTTTTTTTTTTTTTTTTTTTTGGTACTGGGGACTGAACTCAGGACCTTGCGCTTGTGAAACAGGTGTGGTGCCACTGAACTAAATCCCCCATCCCTGCCTGTCCTTTTGTTAACATCTCATGGTGATCTTGGAACATTTCAGATTCCCTTGTGACTAGGATTCCTTTGTGATAAAAGGAATCTGAGTTGTGGTGGTGCTTCCTGGGACAAATGGAGCTAATCTGAAATTTTGTTTCCAAGGTGTGGCCAGCACACCAGGGCCCATGGGTATGTATGTGGTCACAAAGTGCCAGGAGCTCAGAAGAAAACAATAAAGAAAAAGAAATAAAGAAAATAGGATAGGTCACTACTTAAGACTCTCTTCTAAGTCTAAGGGGTAAAGGTGCTATTTTTAGGCTCAACCCCCATCTCTCCTACAAGCATCTTATGGGTACTTAAGGGGTGATGGCACTGGGGAGGAAGGAGCAGGGCAATGGTCAAACCAGGAAAGGGATAAGCAAAAACAAGGCTGGAAGAGCCCTGAGAGCTCATGTAGCCAAGGCTACATAAAAAGAGGAGAACTAGAGCTACTACTGGCTGGGTTTCTACTTTGTGGTAAGATCCTGCCTGCAGACACACAGAGCTAAGGTATGGACACAGAGCTCTGGCATTTTTCAGACTCTGGATCTAACTATGCCTGAAGCTAGGACTCCATCTTCTTAAACTGTTCATTTCTATCAGCCAATATGTTCTCTTTTGGCTTAAGCCAGTATGAAGTGGGTTTTGGTCACCTGCCAATCACAAGAACTCTAACTCATATAGAAGAGGTATTAGATTTATTGTGGTTGATTCTTGGAATAGGACTAAGATCTGAAGATGCAAGTTATACGGGGGGCAGATTGCAGTGTGACTCAAGAAAGACTTCTGTAATAGCAGGAGCTGTCTAGAAGAATGGGAGTGTCAGAAAGAAGTATCTTTTTTGTCACTGGATGTGCCATAGCAGGAGTCAGCACACTTTTTCTTAAATGGCCACAATATCATTTTTTTTTAGGTTTTAGAGGCTACTGCAACTGCTCAACTGCCACTGCAGTATGCAAGTAGCCACAGATGATAGGCAAATGAATGATCACTGTGGTGGTTCAATAAAATTTTACCTTGGGGGCACCCTGCTACATGATCTTTGAAGTCCTGTCCAACCTGGTGTTTGGGGGAAAAGCATTCTTAACTTCAACCAACAGACCTACAACTGTTTTGCAGATATGGTCTGGTCGCAAGCAGAGAAATATTTGCTTTTGGGCTCTGGAAAGCCAAAGTACAATAGGTGAGATCAAGTCTTCAGTGTTAGCTAGGAAGGTGAGGGGTGCACCAGAGCCCCCTGAACTCCTTTCACAGGCACATCTGGTTTTATGTATCATACATAAATCTATCAAAACTTCTGGGATCTGTCTGTATTCTTTTGGTACCGGGGACTGAACTCGGGTCCTTGCACTTGCGCAGCAGGCGGTGAAACCAATGACCTAAATCCCTGGCCCTTCTGTTTGTATTCTTACTCATGTCACTCCTCAGGGACTATGACCTCTGTGAGCTTATCCTAGCTGTGCAAGCCACCTTCCATTTGCTGTCAGCCCACATGTGATCCATGTGGGCTCACATGGCAAAGTGGCTGGCCTTGGAGACACAGGCAAAGCCCTTTTTTGCTGGACCTCTCCTTGCTCTGCAGGACCACACAATACTGAGTGGGGAAGAGAAGGACGCCCCTAGAGACAGAAAACCTGGGGTCCTGAATCTGGGTTCTAGAGGCTATACCAGCATTTTCTTCTTTGATCTTTATTAACTCCTTTCATCTACTTTTACTCTTTCCTATTTTTTTCCTAGTACCTTGAGGTGAATACTGTATTATCAGTCTCAAAGACACATCGCCTTAGAGCACTGCTTTGGGGGTATTTTATCTCAGGTTATGCACACAATATTTCCACTGTCGTTTACCCTAAAGGGTTGTCTCTCAAACATACAGAACTCAGACAATCTCATTTCTTAAAAGATGCATGTTCTAAGAGTGGTCCTCCCCACTTTTAGTGAGAAAGTAAGGTTTTTTTTGGGTTTTTTTTTTTTGAGACAGGCCCTCACTATGTAGTTCAGGCTGGCCTCAAACTCGCAGCAATCCTCCTGTCTCAGCCTCCTGAGTGCTGGAATTACAGGCGTGTGCTACCATGCCAGGCTAGGAAAGTAAGATTCTGACACTGAGGTTTTCCCCTCAGCATCCTCCTCTCCACTATCCTGCCTAAAGAGGACAGAGGGGCCCTCCAGGAGGGTGGTACCTTGTTAACAAAATAAAAGATGGCGTAGACCAGGACGTAGAATGCAGATCCCCCGGAGACTAGAAAATTCCTCCACCACCAGCGGTAATCCTGAGGAGGAAACAGAAAGAGGGTCACTGCTTTCTCCAGGCCCTCTTCCAGCCAAATTATATAGCTGCCTCAGGAGCTCAAGACTCTGAGTAAGAAGAGTAACATTTGTGTAACAGATATGTCCTGTAGCTTAACTGTGATGGTGGTTACTCAACTGTGCACTTCTAAAAATGATAGAACTGCAGATTAAAAAGGATATATTTTACAGTCTATAAATTATACCTCAATTAAAAAAATAACAAAAAATAATCAACTATATACATATAAAGATATTGGGGATTAGCTACATACCCTGCCTTTTTTAAGAAGGGGGCTTCCTAAGTTGCCTAGTCTACTCTTGAACTTGCAATCCTCTTTGCTCAGCCTCCTGTGTAGCTGGGACTATAGGTATGCACAATCATGCCTTGCAAATCCTTTTTAATTTTTGGTAGTACTAGGGATTGAACCCATGGCACCTCACATGTTGGACAAGTGCTCTACCACTGAGCTACATCCCTTTTCTCCAAAATTATCATGTGTTGAGCAAATACTTTCCATGTGCTAGGCACCACTTTAAGGACTACATCTCAATCAGCTCATTTAGCATTTGAAGCAGCCTCCAAGTTAGGTCTGTTACCTGAGGAGGAGTAGAAGTACAGACACTGAGCAACTTGTTGAAGATTCAGAGCCTCTGGTGGAGGACCCAGATCCAGGTCCAGGTTGGTAGTCCCATGGCCCTGGCTTACCTATTCTGCAGGAGCTAGCCCCCAGAAGTAGGGTAGTTCACCAATCTGCATCACGCTGCTGGAGAAACTACCACTAGAGTGAACTTGGTACTGACAAACCTACTGTCCTTTATCAAGCTGTGGTGACTACCCCACACAACCATGCAGTGAAATTGGTATGGTATCATTAACTGCAGTTCAGCTGAGAAATGGGAGGCTTGGAGAAGGAAGCAACTCACTAGACCAAGACAGTCTGAGTCAGGGACCACCTGGGAAACCCAGACTAGCCTCTGCACAACCTCACTCACCTGTTTAATGCTGGGTCCAGCCCTTGCCCTCCTCACTTCCCAGCCCCATTCTCCTTACCTCTGCACACAGCTGGAAGTACACCATGACGATGCTGATTTGTGAACAGGATACCACCAGGATGATGAAAACAAGGAATAGGAAGCCAAAGAGGTAATAGAATTGATTCTCCCAGATGGCCTGTGGACACAGCAGAGCGAATCTTCAGCTGGCCCGCCTCTACTCAGCTTCCCCTTCCCCTGCATACTATCTGCCACCAGAGCAAGAATGGAGAAACCATCAGGATACTATCTGGGCCTGTAGACTTGGCATGTGGTTGTGACTGGAGCAAGGAGTGAGCTATGGTGTTCTTAGGGAGGGGCTGGGGTGTGGTTAAGCCTGCTCTTTGTGGGCTCCAGTCTGAAGGTGTAGAAAATAATCAAAATCGGGCCGGGGATTTAGCTCAATGGTTTCGCCACCTGCTGCACAAGCACAAGGACCCGAGTTTGATCCCCGGTACCAAAAAAACAAAAAAAAGAAAATAATCAAAACCTAGAGCAGCCAACACCACTCAGGAGCAGCTTACCACGACAGGTGCTGTGCTACACTTAACTCCATAGGGGAGCCTATGTAAGCGTGGCCTTGTATAGCTGAGGAGGTGAAGGCTAAGACAGGATAGTAACTGGCCCAGGGGCACATAGATGGGAAATGCACAGGGACCAAAGGACAGCCAACTTAGGCCAGCCTGAGTGTGCAAGGGGCCCATCAGGGATAGGCTGGGCTACTACTCTGTAATAGCAGGTACCTGTACAGCACTGACTGGGGCATGGCACCATCTTTGCTGGACATGGGCTGGGTCACTAGACTTACAGGGCTCTGAGGAGCCCTCCTGCCATCTTGGCACTCCCAGGTAGGAGTGACATCACAGCAGTAGCATTTCCTGAATGCCAAGTGCCCTTATAGACCACAAAGATCTAGACAATGGGAAACATTTTCCCCTCTTGCCTTAAGTTTTGGGTGATGTCAACAGGTAAAAGATGGGAAGGGAGTTGGGTGTGGTGGTGCTTGCCTGTAATTCCAGCACACAGGAGGCTGAGGCAGGAGAATCGCCACAAGTTCGAGGCAAGCCTGGACTAAACTACACAGTAAGACCCTGTCTCACCCCCCCTCACCGAAAGGGAAGGGACCTGGAAAGATATAGCAATGATCTTCATCATGGGGGTGAATGATCTGTAGTATTATTGAAGGAAATTTCATATCCTGAGCCCTTTCCACACACCGGGCTCTGTACACGTGGCGTATTTCCTTCACCTTCCAAAGCTGTCCTGGCAGGCAAGTCTGTTTTCCAATTTCAGGGTGCAGAATGGAAATGTGAAAGGTTAAACATCCTGTTTGCAATTTCATAGGCAAGAAGAGGCAATGTGCCTAAGCAACAGGGAGAGACCAGGCTGCAGGCATGGCTGCATTGTGGAAAGGTGGGGACAGGCAGCAGTACTCACACTGAAGATGAAGAACAGCTCGATGAACATGGCACCGAAGGGGAGGATCCCAGCCATGAGAATTCTGCAGCAGAGCACTAGGGTCAACACTGCCCGAGACCTGGCCATCAGGAAACCCAAGCTTCCCCTCCCCCACAGTGACGTGGAGACAGTGCCTATGCAGGTGGGGGACCTCTCTGTGCTGCTGAGGCACTATACCCTCTCAAGAGGTAGACAGGGTGGGTACCATTCCCACAGTTACAGGTGGGAAACAGGTTCAAGTGATAGTTTTAAACTGTCCCACCATACCCTCCATCTTTCCCTTCCCCGTCCTGGTCCCCAGGCTGGCATGAAGTCTGCTGCAACCCTGTCCTCTTTGTCATGGAGGGAAACTGAGCTTTCATCCAGTCTACTAGTATGGCTACAGCTGCTGCAGGAACACTGATCGAAGCTCCTGGTGAGAGCACCCTCTTCCATGTCCTCCTAAGGTGTGGCTCAGGGGAGTGCTGGCCCCACATACTCCAAAAGCCCTCTGCTCTTGTCCCCACCAGAAGACTCACCCCACAAATCGATTCATGTACCACCGCTGTTCAGGAATCTGCCGGGGAATCTGGTTGGTACGTACAGGGTTGTCATATGGCTGCTTGCGGAAGCCGAAGTAGTACCCCAAGTAGACAAGAGGCAGGGAGATCCCAAACCACATGCAGAGCAGAGCAACCATGGTAGGAAAAGGTACCTGTAGACACAATGCTGTAAGGACCCTACCAGGCTCTAATGCCTAGGATAGGGGCTACACAAGGGGCAAAGGAAACTTTTGGGCTCCAGGGAAGAAGCCACATGTACAGCAAGGCCACCATGGCGGAGAAGGTTCCGCACACATCCCACCCAACCCTGGGATCCTAGTCAGAATCTCTTGAGGCCAAGAATTTCCTGGGATGAAAGCATACTGCAAATGGGGAGGAAGACTGGGCTCCCAGTAAAGAAGGAACCTCGTCATACCAGGAACCTGTCATCCAGGGAGGAAGTAGAGAGGATGAGAGAAGAAAGGGACTGAAAACCCTAAGGGGACAAGAAGGGGCTAGACTGAACGCAAATGACATTAAAGGATCCATTAAGTGAACAGAAAAAAGGGAAAAAACAAAGTGCATGAAGTGCTCATTTGGTTAAAATAGAATACCACGATGTATGTTTAAGTGTAAAATGCAGGTTTAATATTGTATGTACAAAATAACTCATTAATTAATTAATTAATACAGGCTCTCCCTATGTAGTTCCGGCTCACTAAGTAGCTGAGGCTGCCCTAGACTCATGGTGATCCTATTTCAGCCGCCGGAGTGCTGGGATTATAGGTGTATGCCACCATGCCTGGCTCAGAATTCCATTTTAATAAAATATTATATATATAAGCACCAGGAAAGCCTTACACCGAAAAGTTAACACTGTTTCCTTGGATGAGATATGAGGGAGAGAACTGATTTTTCATTTTCTTTATTTTTTTCTGTACAGTTATGAGTTGCTAAACTTTTATAAGTATCATACGAAATGGGCATGGTGGTGCAGGTCTGTAATACCAGCACTGTGAGAAGCTGAGGCAGGACAGCAAGTCTGAGTCCAGCTAGGGCTACTTAGTGAGACTCTATCTCAAAATTAAAAAAAAAAAAAAGAAAAAAAGGGGGAGACCTGGG